GCCTTCTCTGTATCCTTTGTTACCAGGGCACCCGCCCCATTCAGCAGCGGGCCCACGTTTTCCCTAGCCTTCCTTTTGCTATTGATGTATTTGAAGAACCCCTTCTTGTTGTCCTTGACATCTCTTGCCAGATTTAATTCCAACTGGGCCTTAGCCTAGCCTTCCTTGTCGCATCCCTGCACACTCTGACAACGTTCCTGTATTCCTCCCAAGTGGCCTGTCCCCTTTGCCACATTCTGTGTACTTCCTTCTTCTGTTGGAGTTTTGCCAGGAGTTCCTAACAGCAGAGTTAACTAACAGCTTGTTGAGCTAACATGCCAGATTTCACAGTTAAGATATATTAATCTCCTGTGTAAAAAAGGGATAGAGAGTGGAGGAAGACAGAAATGAGGAAGGGTACCTTAACATCATCCTTCCTTTATTTAGGTACTGAGGAATGTGTATTTCGTGTGTTCAGAAAACTCATCAGTGAGAACTGTATATTTAAATGCAAAAATCAAGAGCTCTGTATTGGCACAGGTGAACACAAATAAGATATTTTGTATTTCCATTTGTTGTACAGCATATCTGATGATTAGAAGCGTAATCTTTTCACAGTTAGGCCCAGCCTCTGCTGTTGATATGAGTTTTAAACATTCCTTAGGTAAGTTCAATTGCACCTATGTCCTGTGTGTATGGTAATAGATTACTCCACATTACAGCGTGATGAACTTGGATGATTTAACCAGAAGAGGTTTATATCTGAGTGATATTCCATTGCATGATGCGACCCGTGATCTGGTTCTTTTGGGAGAGCAGTTCAGAGAGGAATATAAGCTGACTCAAGAACTTGAGATCCTCACTGACAGACTGCAGCACACACTACGGGCACTGGAAGATGAGAAGAAAAAGACAGACACGTAAGAACCAATTACTTGATTAAATATAGCTAAGTTCCTCAAAAAAATGAAAAAGCTCTGGAAAGACTATAAGAGATATTCAAGGCTAATAATTTTGGAGTCAAGAAAGAACACTTTTCTTTCAGTCCTTATAGTGTTGTTTTTAATCTAAATTATCAAATGTCATCTGCAGTCTGTTATATGCACAGGTATTTTGATGACTCCTTCCTTGATAAGAAAAACTATGAAGGGACATGAACTGGCAATTGTTTTTTGTTTTGCAAATGACCTAAAACAGTAGTTTTTCAAACTTTATGCTTACATGCCATCTCTGTAGCCAGATGAATTTGATGAATGTGCAAATGTTACTATTTGACAGAGTTCTTTAAACCACCTGTAGACAACTTACTCTGACTTTCTCAACCATCATGATCACAGGTTATCAAAACAGAAAAATATTCTTTTGAAGACTAATAGCCAGGACCAGCATACAGGTGGTGGTGCTTCAGAAATTCTTTTATAATTTGGACTGGGTCCTTCAGCTCCCAAAGACAGATTCAGCACAGCAGGCCAATAGGAAATTAACTGATGAAAAAACAACATGTAAATTTATGAAAAATTAAGTAATTATTAACAAAAAGTGAAAATGGCAGAAAGAATAATCAGTTTGCTGTGTTATAATCCTCAAAAATAATATAAATTTTGCCATAGATCAATGCTGTGAATTTGATTTTATAGTTCCCTGTAAGAATGGATTTTATAGTTCTCTGTAAAGATAGATTTTGGGCACAATGTGTATACATTATTATTGTTAAATAGTTATCTATATCTAGTGCTCAGAACTAGGACTATTGGCAAGCACGTTAAATAAGTGTTTGTGATAAGCAGCATGAATTTTGATGATCAATTTTCATGATAGTTCCCATCTATGTAATAGCCGGATTTCTTGTGACTTATGTTTGTTTAGCAGTAAAAATTAACATCTCTTTGCTATGAAATCTATTTACAGATTTTTTTTTTTAATCTTTAGTGGAGTAATGAAAACTGTTGTAATAAGACTTCAGAGGAATGGATGAGGGAGTTGGAGAGCACAGAAGCCTAAAAATATTTTTTCTATTCATTGTTGACTTGCTCTATAAAGCCATTTTATCTTCAAGAATTCTAACCTGTTTGGCAGCCACTGGAAAATACAGTGTCAGTTACTATACTATGTGCCAAAAGTATTCAGTAATTATAACTCATACAGCAGTGAACTTGCCAAAAAAATGCAACTAATGAGCGCTTGTGCAGGAGGCTACCTACATGATGCTCAGGTCTTGTGAAACATTCAGAGGTCTTCAGGTCGTCTACTCAGCTGTGTAAGAAGGGAAGAGGTACTATATGATCGCAGATAAAGAGTTGACAGCATCCACATGAGAGTGCAGCTCTGTGTCTGGTGTGGATTGTATTTGCAAGTGTTAATGTGTCATATGGACTGTTAATTGAATTGGAAAAAATGCATTAAACCCTAAGAGCAACGTTCTCAACAGAAGAGGAAAGGTTTAGCAATTCAGGAGTGGGTCACAGGTGGAAGGAAAACTGTGGTCTCTTCAGGTTCTTTTTTGCAGCTTTTATGGTTCTGTGAGCAAGACCAGATTATATTAGTTGAGGATGTGGCAGAAATGCTTAAGCAAAAATAATCCAAGGAACTATTAACTGATAGTGTCAGAAGAATTAATAATATATGTTTAATTAGTTGGTAAGTTAGATGTATTAATATGTATTTGAAATGGCATGGCTTTAGGCATACTGATGTAGATCAGCTCTTGTTTCCCAAATAGCAAATATTCAGTAGAAACTCTTTTATAATCACTAACTCTTGGATGACGCTAGTATGTTATAAACCCTATGGGAGTTACTAACTTAATATTTGAAGAGTGTTCGTGTAAAGACTTTTCTCCACATGCTTTCTGTTTTTCTTGTCCCTTTCTTTTCTTGAATATCTAGATTACTGTACTCTGTTCTACCACCATCAGTGGCAAATGAGCTGAGGCACAAACGCCCTGTTCCAGCTAAGCGATATGACAATGTGACCATTCTCTTTAGTGGCATTGTTGGATTCAATGCCTTCTGTAGTAAACATGCCTCCGGAGAGGGAGCCATGAAGATCGTTAATCTTTTAAATGATCTTTACACAAGATTTGATATTCTGACCGATTCACGAAGGAATCCATTTGTTTATAAGGTAAATGGAAGATTTTTAAATAATTTAATCTGTGACTTTTCAATACTTGAATAGTCATGTCACTCTATTCCATCCTTTGAGCTTTGTGCTTTTTGAAAAAACTTGTTATATTCTCAGTCTTTGACAAAAACCCACATTAACTGGTTGATTTACCAACATGCCAAGTAGCAGTTTTCTTTTTAAGACTAAAGATATTGAAATGGATGCATCTAAATTTGTAAAATCCTTGCTATCAAATGTAGTGTGTAACTTGGGTGTGTTTTCAGAGCCAGGGTTTACAGACTCTCTTAATCACAAATCCTACAATTATTGACACCTTGAAAGCTCTGTTCTTAACTTTTTTTTATGCTGCACTGTGCTAAGAGAAAGGAAATGTTTGAACTACATTACCTGATAACTAAATGTCTAAAGAAGACTGTGTTGTTTATCTCTGAATGTGTGAAGGAACCTAAAGGACTTAGTTCTCAGCCAGGACTCTGCACATGCACCCATTAGATGGATACATAAATCTATACCACATAGCAGATTCTGAACGCTTTTGGAAGCTTTTTGTAATTCTACTCACCCTGTGCTTTAGGTTTTCCAGCCGTATAACTGGGTCTTCTGATTGTAAATTATAAGTTACTAGTCAGTTGTTCCAATATGAATTTAATTCCTTCACTAGGTATGAAGTATAGTTGAACATATGTCTGGTAGCAAAGCTGAAACTGTATCCTATATATATGTACATGTATATGCGTGTGTGTTTGTGTGTGTAAAATTGATTCCTAGCTTTTACTAGGAATCAATTTTATGTCCTGAACCAAGTGAGTTAAGGAATGTGAGTCAGCAAGACAAACAACAGAGCTCAATATCCACAGTAATTGAAAGACCTCAAAAGAGAGGCTCAAGTTTAGACAATAATAGTGTCATTTTAAATATGTTGCATTCTTGGCATGCAATAAATTCTTTTTAGTAGTGAGCAGAGATGAGCGGAGTTAGGGTGATCTGAATGAAAGTGAAGGGAAACTATTTGAAAGGACAGGTGGTCTTGAAGGTAGCAGTACATCCATTCTAGCACTCTGAAGCATAAGATAATAAAGTAATTGAAAAAGGTATGTCTTCATAGGTGGAAACAGTTGGGGACAAGTATATGACAGTGAGTGGTCTACCAGAGCCTTGCATTCATCATGCACGATCTATCTGCCACCTGGCATTGGATATGATGGAAATAGCAGGCCAAGTTCAAGTAGATGGTGAACCTGTACAGGTTAGTAAGCGTGTGAGCTTGAATGAAGAACCCATTCTTTGATAGAATGATAGTGCTTTGAAATATGATAATGCTAAAGTCTCAGTCTGTGCAAGCTTTGTTATTCCTAGATTTAGACAGATCTGTACAAAGGAGACGAAGAGTTGCATGCAGTCTTCCAGACCTTAAAAGCTATTATTGTGCCTAACCTTGTAAAGGACTAAACTTGGTCTACATCATATCTATTTGCTTTCTAGTCATTTCTGTAAAAATCCCCTCTGCACATCAGATACAATTAGTTGGGTCTCCTTCATCTCAGCAAACCAAACAATAGTATTCCCTCCTTGACATTTTGATCGTGCTTCAGATCCTCAACTCAGCATGCGAAAACACTTTGTTAAAAAGAAAAATACAGTTCCATAGGAATTTATGGCAATGATTAGTGGCAACAACGTACATTAGTGGAAGTTCATTCATTGTGGTATTTTATGAAGATGTTGTGGCATTGATACAGAATTGAAGAGGCTGCATTGGTCTGTCTTCTTCAGAAGACACTGAGGGCAAAATAAGTAACATGTATGATGCATATCTCTATTTACATGAATGATATTGTTCCTCCCAAACCTAGTCTGTGTATATCAGTGTGTCAGTGGGCAAAGAAGTGAGGTTTGATTTGGGGCTTTGCAGTAACTGTGAGGTGCTGTGAGAATGAGCTTCTCAAAATCCCTGCCCTACATCTTAGACACATGCGGACTGTGGATGCTTGAGCTTTCACGGGCAAAATACTGGTGCTTTTCTTCTGAGAAACAGCCTTTTTCTTGGACTGTACTATCCATTTCTGCACCTTCTGAGTACTCATTGAAGCCAGACCTACAGTTTGCTACTCTTTCAACTTTTTTCTTTCCGAGTGTGTAATAGCAGCATGGCATGATGCATGTTGGGGAAAAAAAATATGAGGTTTGTTATTTCATATGAGAGTCAGGGCTGTGATACTGCATAACAGATCAGGACACAAAAACACAAAAAATGAAGGCTTTGAAGAAGCAGGACTGGTGCATTTTTAATTAAACTAGTGGATAGAAACTATGTAATACCTGTATTTAGTCAGAAGCATCAAATTAGTTATGATGATTTTGAGTATTCAAATTTTATTTTTTCTCTCTAAAGATAACAATAGGAATCCATACTGGAGAGGTAGTCACAGGTGTCATAGGCCAAAGGATGCCACGTTACTGTCTCTTTGGAAATACTGTCAATCTAACAAGCAGAACAGAAACTACTGGAGAAAAGGGAAAGATCAATGTCTCTGAGTATACTTACAGGTGAGTGAATCAGTATCTGTTACTGATGTTAACGTTTTAAAAGAATCCACTCCGTCAGTGTAATGTCAAAGTGTCTTTAGAGGTGATAGTGACAGGACCCCATCAGCACATTATTTAAGTACATGAGTCCTTACAAAAGAGACTGCCTTATGATATGCATCTGTAGCATGTTTAATATTTTATGCAGTGCATGCATGCATAGTAAATACATTTACATGTTTTCTCTTTCAATTTCAGGTGTCTTATGACACCAGAAAATTCAGATCCTCAGTTCCACCTGGAGTACAGGGGTCCAGTTTCTATGAAGGGTAAAAAAGAACCAATGCAGGTTTGGTTTTTGTCCAGAAAGAGTACAGAAACAGAGGTATGACTAACCAAAGTGTAATTTTTTTTTAAACAAGGCATGAATACCACAAGTTTAATCTAAACCACTGAGATCCGTTTGCATTTGCAAAACTAAATGTTCACTAGAAGAAATGAACCATTTCGTATGACATTGTTTCATTAATGCATTTACTATCTTTACAGCAGATTAAAGTCCTTGATTATTTGTCTTTGGAGTTTGTACAGTCCCTGAAAGAATACTTTCTGTATTTTAAAATGTTCTTGAGGGAATGCCAAACGTTTAAATATTTACATCTCTCTTCTTACAGATTCCTCCACTGTACTAGATTTTGCAATATAATGTCCATTTCTGTTTAGCTGACATGTCTGGTTATTACCACTTGAAAAGTTACCATTTGCTTTCTTGCAGTGAGAATAGTTGTACCTTCCAATATTTAGGCAACACTCCAGCAACTACTTGCAGCCAGCTTCCCTCCTGATGTGTGTGGTTTGTTATTCCCAAAAGGATATGCTTGCTCAGAGATAGAGGTCCTAGTTTAGAAATAAGCAAAGTGAAAAATATGTCTTCTAAATGACATATGAACCTAAATCCTCTTCTCAAAAAGACACAGGGTAAAGTTTTTTCAAGGGCTAAAGAGTTTTTATATGTCAGTTTCAGAAGTTTGGGCACTTAGTAATCTGGGTACGAGATGATTTAAGCAGGTGCCTACGTTTCACCTATTGCAGACAGGTAGGAAAGAGTAAAAGTAATTCACATAGCTTGAATTTTATCTTGAAGTAATACACAAAGAGAGAAACTTAGGTTAATGCATTTTTTTATTTTAAAAATACACTAGGCTACAATAATGCAAGTCATTCGTTGCCTTGGCTTAACTAATGCCTAACTAACTTCTTTTAAGTCACAAGACTGAAATCTAAGTTCTAACATGCCTCTGAATATTAAATTTAGGCTCTTTAGAAAATGTAAACCACATTTATTCCCCCTGGTACCCAAGTATATGAATACTGACTTTTTAATGGTAACTCACAATATTAATCCCCAGTATTAAACTTCAGAGGAGAGTCTGTACTTTAATTCAGCTGAATTTTATATTTTAGTATATATTATTTCTGATAATATTCTGAATGCCACTTTTGATAGTCCTTTCTAACTTTGTTTTGTATCAACTGCAAGATTAACTATGATTTCACATGGCTGCCATTCTTTCATACCTACAGTTGTATTTTAAACCATATTTCAGTGAGACACCTTTGACTTTTTTCTGCGTTATAAACTATGTTCCTATGATTTATAGCAGGGCAGATTGTAATTTTAAATGTAAAACTTCAGAGGATTACTCAGTCAGGTGGCATTTTTCTTGCTGCAGCCGCACACCTGCTTAATATGAAATTAGGTTTCAGATAGTTTAGTATTTTAAGCATAGCAATTTCATTTTAGAGATCTTGTAGTATTGTTTGTTTTGTTAATCCTCACAGCAGCCCTGAGAGGTACTTGGTGGTATTATCACTTAATGATCCAGCTTCATATGGGGAGACTTGGAGGCAGAAAGAAACATCGAAGAATGTTCTGTCAGTTTGATTTTCAGGAGCACTTAAAAATCATAGTTCAATCACACTCTAAGTCTCAAACCAGACTCTCAAAAATTTGTTTGATATACTTTATTTTTGTTAGTTTTTGTTAATTCCTAAATTCAGACACACATATAATTCTTATACACGGAGGGGCTTACTCCTATCTCCTAGATACCTACTTTATATTGTTGTATGTTTGGGAGAAGAGGAGACTAGGATATATTCATTTGGTAATGAAACTGATGATCATTTTGTCAGAGGTGATTTTGAAAGCTGAAAGAAGATAATCCTTTAGAGAACTCTTCATTCTTTTTCACTCCCTGCACGATTTCATCTGTCCATGCACAGGAAGTTATGCTGGGCTTTACTCCTGTAAGATTTTGTAAACTGTTTGCAGTTTCTCTTTGTCTTGTGAAGGTATTCATCACATTATTTCTGGCACTGCATAGGCTGTACATAGTAGTTGTAATCCACAAGCAAAAATCAGGTAATCAGACTTTTACATTTGATTACCTTAAAGTAATCACTTTGCTTTAGGCAGAGGTTTAGCCTAGGTTATCTTTTCAGATGCTTATTCTCTGCATCACGGAACGTGTGGGAGTTGATGCATTTCTACATGAAACATGCGAAAGAAATGTGTGTGCTAACAATGATCTTCTATTATTATTTACTGATAATAGATGCATATTGTTAAATGTAGTTTGTCATTGCATTGACCCACTATGTTGTTGCTTCAAATAAGGTGCTGCAAAGAAATTCCCTCACTTTTCCAATTTTACTTGCATGTACTCAAGGAAACAAAGCAAGATGCTTTCTGAGCTGAGGGAAGAGGAAGAGGATGCTGGATAGGGTGCATTACTGTCTCCAAATAGCGGGTCAGGCAGTAAGGTTGTTATGGATATTACTTGTTACTTCACTGCATATCTCTCATCACCGTGTGCAATATCACTATCTTTTGCCCCAATCCTGAAATCATAATCACCATTTTCTTCCATGCTCTCTGCTGTGTTTTGGGTTTTTTTGTTTTTTGGGTGTTTTTTTGGCCTTAGTGTTTGGTGTTGTTATATCTATACAGTGAGCATGTATTTCAGGCTTTTTTTTTTTAATATGTGTCTACGTGTGTGTCAGTCATGTGGCCCTCCCTGCCACTAAATAATACCAAATAGCATTTTGTAATATGCTCACCACAGCTAACCACTTCAGTCTGGTGCTTCACATATATGCTCTTCATCTTCATTTATGCAGTATAATGTTTGTGTGAATCAGTGACATTTCTGGAAAGACAGGCCTTTCAATTATTGGGCAGAACAATGAACCTAAAAAAACTATTATTTTTAATAATAATGCATAAAGCATCATTACAAAAACTACTGTATAAATGTCTATCAGGTATAGTTCTGCAATCATCATGCTTTCCATTCATCCTGTGAATAACACTTGATGCACCGTGTTAATTCCTGATCAGAAAAAGGTATCTCTTTTGAAGTCAACCTGCATTTTCCCTTTGTAGACACTATGTATACATTTTCTATGTTAAAAGGAGGCAGTTTTTGTCCGATATTGCCGTTTGAAGCATGTGCCAATGTATTTGTACTGAAACGCTGTTCACTTGCAATGTATTTCTCATTGATTTATATTAACTAAATTAAGTAGCCACATTAATAATAGATTGCTCGACAGTTTTAGACCACCTGTAATGCTTTGATTCTTTTCTGATAGAGCCCCTAGAATTGAAAGCCTTACTGCTGGGACGTGGTTGGCATGGTTGACTTTTGTTTTGGTCTCTCTAACTTTCAGAAATTATCTTACTTCATTCCTTGGAAGGATCTCGTCATATTCTAGACATCACATCATGATTAAGGGATGTAGGGCTTGTAAGGAGACATAGTATCTTTTATTTAACCAGCTGATAGAGTTGGTGAAAGCAGTCAAGGTTTCAGACACATAGACCTTCCATAGCTTCAATGTACAGTGCATTTTTGTGCAAATAATAGCCATTCTTATCTGACTGATATTTTCTGAATATTTGCATTATAAAATAGGACAGTGCAATTACTTTGGTGTATAAAAATTGTCTATATCTAGTATATCTTATCAGCACAAAATATATATGTATAAATGTTTCATGTTAACATGCGAAAGAAGTTGCAATAAATTATTTTTTCCACTGACTTTCAGAAATTTGGGGATTTTCTTCTCAATAAAAGTTACATTCATGTGCTGCATCTCCTACAAGATAAGTATGTTCTCCTTCATTCTAAAATTCTACAATTTCTAGTTCCAACTTAAATAATTTCATGAGTCATTACTTCAATGTGTGTGTACGTCCAAGAGCCTCCTGCGTTCAGGTTAGCAGATCACCTCCTCAGATTGAAGTAGTGCTCAAAATGTAGATGAACACCCCTAAAATAGTAGAAAATGCATATATGGTATTACCTTTGAAATATTTGAATCACATTTAACAAACACAATTATTAGCTATCCGCTTTGAGTTGGATTTGCATCAACCACCAAAACTTTAGGAATGGAAAATGAAGAGGGAAAGCCACATACATTCCTCTCTGCCTTCTCACTGTGCAACAGCAACATGTCAGCACTCTATGAATAGAGATTGCCCTGACTTTACTGGATACACAACAGCAATTTGCACTTAAAGTTGATCAAACTTACCGAAATCTTAATGGTGGTCCCTCAAAGTGTGGGCTTTGTGACAGCTAGCTGCACTTGTGCATTGACGTAATTGATCTAAAAGGATGTGAAGCAACTGAAGGTTTTGTGTTGCCCTTCAAGCTGATGGAAGATGGCATTCCAGAAAGCTCAAATACTGCTCAAAGTTTATATTTTACCCTCTTAACTGTTATTTCAGTGATTTAAAGCTCCTGTTAAGCTACTCTGTAACATAACCAATTTCTTGAAGCACTAGAATAATAGTCCATATATTGTATTCACATAAGTGCTTTTTTTTTCTTAAGGAAACCTCTGCAATTTAAGTACATAATCACTTTGATAACTAAAACTGGTTGTCTTTTAACTGCTTTGCTCAGCTCAGCTACTAGAATTGTTCTTTGGTTAAATATTACTTTTAGATAACAGCTAAAAGCTTCTGTGGGTATTTGGGTCTTTTATATATGCTCTATTGCCTCTTTTATTTAACTGTAGTAATTTACTTTTTCAATAGAGGCTCTCTAGTTAAAACACGAGGCAAAGTAATCGCCAAAATCTCTTTCAAAGGCATTTGCAAATAGATCTATTTTATCTTAGTGGGCTGGGGAGGAGGGGGGTTAAGATTAAAACAAAGAGAATAAAAGAGAAAGCAGAAATGAAATTGCAAATGATAGATCGCTTAGCTGTTTATAATCTTCTCGCTCTTTTGCATTCAGAAACGTAAATGAATTTGGTTTTGTGTGGTATTATTTGCTAAGGCTGGCCATGGAGGGGAATCTGTTACTCTACTGCTGTCTTGCAGTTGGTACTGCAGTTGGCTTCCCTAATACGCATCTGACTAGGCAGTTGTTATATTTTATTATCATCAAACAGCTTTCCTCTCCTGCAACATTGTCACGGAGCAGGTGGTATGTTGCAAGAGTAGGAGTGTCAGCATTCATTTAATGTTTCCAAAGCCCCTTTTTTCACTGTCCCAGGGAGAATTTTAATATCAAAAAGATAATTCAGTAGGCAGAGATTATAATGGGAATAACTGAATCTCAGAACCTCTGAAAATTAGATCTGTCATAGATATCTCAAATCATCCTTACAGAAACAGACTTCCTCTAATCAATATGTCCTTTGGAAAAAGTTAGCGTAAGTACCGTGTTCATCCAACGCAAAGTTTCTGTGAAACAAATACTAATGCTTCTTGGCTAACGTACAAATTTTGTTCCTATTACAAGGCTTGAAAAACAGCAATAGGACTCTCATCAACTTTAGTAAATTTTTTGAAGCAGGCTTCTTAAGCACATACTACCAATGCTTAGAAGTTACGTTATAAAGACTTTCACAACCAATGAGGCTATCTGATAACATTGGCCCAGTGTTGTAGATGATGTTTATCTTTTCATTGACCATCCCCATGTGGGATTCCATCAAAACCTGATGTTTTAAAACAAATTTATATGGTAAAGCAAGTACATATTTATGTACCTTTTAGCAAAAATATTATCAATTCTGGCGTAGTGAGGAGGAAGTTTTATTACTATATTCACTTTTTAATCATCAGTACACTTTCCATAGGCTCTGTTGGGATGTTACAGGTTATAAGCTTTCTGCAGTTGATATTTATTCCTGTTTATGTGCAATAAGGTACAAACTGTACAGTAAATCCTCAGAGGGGACAAACTCTGGGAACATAACTTTATATTTAATAACTGGAGGGGAAACAATAATAAAAAGTAGGTGAGACAAGTCATTTGGGTATGTCACAGTATTATCACAACAGTTATTGTTGTATTTTTTACTTTTAAAAAAGAAGTAAAAATAGTTCACTACTGTGGTTAGGGAATAGAAAGGGGGAAAAAAGGGGGGAACCAGGTTGAAACTTCAGTAAACAGGAGCGAGGAGGATCCTGCTCTTTTTGTTCTTGTTTTTAACTTTCTTTATCTTTCTGAAAAGTTGCACAGGGGAACAGACCAAACAATACTAAGCCAGAGAGGAGAAAAACTCCATCTTTTTACGAGAGTGTGGGTTGGCAGACTTTGTCTTTTTTGCAAACACAGACAAAAAGCGGGATGCGTTATTCATGAAAGTAGTAGCCTTCATCTCTCTTGCTAACAATTTCTGTTGAGAATATCCACTAAGTCCAGTTGAATGCACACTTGAATTTTCAGGATCTGGGCATTTTTTGTTCACATTCACTGTAGTTTTGTAGAAGGAGCGAACGGCAGTAGGTGCTTAGACCTGAGTACAGTAATAAAAACTATTGTCCAGAAGAGTTTTAGTTCACCCTTCCCTATCTGCTGCTATTTGGCTGCTATTTTTTTGCTTTTAGGGGAACTGCATGTTTTTATTTTTACCTCAGAAAGGCATCATTGCAGCATTGGTTTATTAGCATCCAGAAAAGTCAATTTAGCTCTAATTTATATGCATGTATACACATAAGGAGGAAATGCTATAATTTGAACAATAAGCTAGGAAGACAAAAGTATGAAAACCGATTAGATTATGTGAAACTTTTTTGGTGACTTATGTGTGGTGTTTTATGTAAGTTGTAGTACAAAAACATATCTACCTAGTCATAAATTCACATTCAAAAGACAATCACATGCATAAGAAGGAAACAGGAAGGGATATGCTAGCATCTGATACAAATAAGGGCTTGGAGGAGCTCTAAGCCCCAGAGCTTTTTCTTTGAAAGAAACTCTTGTAAAATCCAAAACTAATAAGCACTGACTGTGCTGCAGCCAAGTTGTGCATTGCAGTATACATACACTCTTGAGCTCGGAAACCTTGATAGCCTTGTCAGTACTCCCGTCCCCATGGAGTCAGCGTATGGCCTGAGGCATCCGTGTTCTAATATGTTTTTTAATTCACACTGTAGACAGGTCAACACTTTCCATATATTGAGGCAGGTTGTAAAATTGTTACTGAAGGGTTTCCAGAGTCATCCTGTTAAAATATATATATACTGGATGATAATATAGTAGCAATATAAGAACCTGAAGAGAACTGATTGCTCATGTTCTCTAGTGATCAGGCAGTCAGCTTACTGGTATAAATGGGAGCTTATGGACTATAGTAAATGAATTGTGTCACTGTCCTGGCTTATTCTCTGCAAGTAAAAGGATGTTACTGGCATTGTAGTCCTGTTTCATTAGAGTGCCAGGAACACAGAGAGAGTCCATGCTAGTTTATTATATATATACATATATATATATATATATTCATCTTTATTGCCTGTTAGCAAGCTCTCATTCCTTGGGAAGAGACTGAAAGTCTTTGATGCACCTACCTGACAATGGGAGCAATAACAAATAATAAGCCAGATTCTTAGGGGGATTCATTCAAAAAAAAAGAAAAAGGCTCCATTCCCCAATCTATAACCACACATACAAAACAAGTATGCGGTATTTTTTTCCTCCATTGTTCTTTAGACTTCTGGCTGGCTTTGGATGACAGTTAAGGAAAAACTGCAACAATACGTGCTGTCTCCACCAATTCACTCTTTGTTTGTTGCCAGCGGGAAAAGGCTAATGTTCATTTTCTTCGTAACAGTTGATGGATCTTTCTGCCAATGTGACTGTTTTGGAGATAAAGAAGATCAGGGAACGTAAGAACGATTTTGTGATTATCATTCCGGGATGAAGATGTTTATTATCTGTTACAAAGGTTTTGTTCCAGACATAGACTACACCTCCTGCAGTCATATTGACGTTGCCTTTGTTATTGCCTTTGGCAGAGATGATTATGGGGATTTCAATATCTATAAAGCAACTAGTACATATTTTAGGCTACAGTATAATTGTAGTCTCGCTAGGAAAGTAATCTGTGAGATGAGAGTATATGAACTCACAGCAGTCAGCCAATTTTAGCATACATTTATTTTTATCTGTTCATGAGCTGGACACCTCTGGCATGAAGCCCGTACATTTTTTATATTGCAGGTTCTCAGGGTTATTCTAGCCTTCCAAAATTGATTTTGCACTTTGAAAAATGTGGTATCCTGTCTAATGCTCAAACACTGAGCTGTTGTTAAAATGACTGAACTTAGCTGAGCGCAGACAAAAGACTGAAAGAATTCATACTTCCTAGCTGTAGTTAAACATAATCCCAAACCGGAGAACGATTAAGTCAATAGTCCTTGGGCCTTAGTTAAAAAAACAACTACATGACCATATTTTTCAGCCCAGAAATAAAACTCTGTTTGATTTCAGTATTACTGGCTTTATGTCAATATCAACATAGTATTGTAATGATATATTTGAAAAAAATCAAACCAGCTTCATCAGTCTCACTACATATGTGAATATGTACTAAGTGTGAAGATACCCACATCCTTTTCTCACAAGTCCTAAATACCGTATGTAAGGTTCCCGGAAAGAAAAAAAACAGGCTACATCCTCTTATTTTCAGATATTTTGTGCAAGTCAGCTTAATGAACAGCAGTTTTCATGTACATAGCATTCAGAAACAATCTGATTTTCAAAAAACCTACGCCAAGAGGTTGAAGGGTAAGTATC